CAGGTTTTACCAATGATACTAATTAAGGTTCAGTTCCATTCAGGTCAAACAGAGTCAGGGTGCTGCTGTTGTGCATGTTGGCTCACTGGAAAGACTCTGCTACACTAAATGAAGTTGAACCTTAATTAGTTTAATTAATTGGAAACACCTGTTTTACCCTATTTTATGTAAAAATGGCTGCTGGAAAAAGTCTATTTAAACTCATATACTGGACTATATAAAATCACACATAGTCCAATAAACTATTGAATGGAACTTCTAACATGTTATACTGGAAATGTTTTGGGAAATGAACCAATATGACGATGCAGAATTAATTATATTCCCTATGAGAAGTGAGCAGAGACCAAACACATCTCTGATAGATGGAGACAAACAGAGAGAGAAAACATCCTTCATGTCTGACACTGATTGAGAATGAGACTCTACAGGAGGGTTTTTGATGAGTGTTAATATTGAAGGTACAGTGTCCTTTAGCAGATCATTTGGGTGTGATAAGCCGGGCTGACCCTGTTGGTGTTTGCGCGCACTAAATAGTTGGTGTCCTCTCTACTTGTTCATCCGCAGCAGGAAGTTCTCCAGTTGCTCTGTGTTTGCTGTAGGTATTTGAGTCAGTGCCTCCTGTAATCCAATCAACCTGTTGCTGTAATCAAATACTGTACGTCTGCAGGAGTCGAGGCTGGAGCAGCTAGTACTGCTGAGTGATGTGGTCAGCTGGAGGATGAATGTCTCCATAAGCAAAATAACTTAAAGAGATAGATGATCAGGCAGTAAACACTAGTATATACTGGTGGTCAGTGATACTGGCTGTAACTGTCTCTCAACAGCGCTGATACACTACATGTAATTCAAACCAGCAGCCACCGGTGACTGATGTTTGCTGAGTCATGCCAAGACAACGTGCCTCAGGAGATATTTGTGCTGTTCATGTTTGTGTTGTTGAAAACAACCTGACAGAGTGTGGACAGAGGCAGAGGGGTGAGGATGAACTGTTGAATGAATGAACGGTTTGTAACACACAAATGTATTATACTGTGGTTGTGAGGTGCCTTTTAAGTGTTAATGTAATGTAATGTATGAAATACTATAACTCCTCCTGTGAAAAATGAATGATTAGCAATAAAATCAGTAAATTATTATTAAGATCCTTCATTTAAGTACTAATACAATATTGAAAAAATATAAGCGTAAGTAAACATGCATAATATTATCAGCAAAATGTGTTTAAAAAAGTACTTATAGATAAATTGCCCCTGTAAATGACACATTATGTCATTATTAGATTATTAATACTGATGCATCTTTACTGTTGTGGCTGGTTAAAGTGGAAATAGTTTTATGTACCAATCAGAGTCACAAAATTTCATAAGATTAACATATATTAATTAGAAAAAAAATATATATACATAACACACTGTAAGGATTTGTTAATGTATGTAATCATGGCTTTAAATATTATTATAGCTTTGTTATACTATGTTATTAACCTTTTATTAACTGTTTATTCATCGACTAGCATGTTTCTTATGAGACGTATAATTGTTGACCAGCACTTGAAAATGTCCTTCTCATGACTACTTATATTAAATTCTGATTTTATATAGACATTAAATAAGGGGGTTAAAGTAAAGTGTTAACAAAGAGGATATTAATACTGAATGTGTGCAAACAGACAAATCATTTGCCAACTTTTACACATCTTCTTTTTTTTAAGTAACGACAATTCCCAGGGTCTCCTTTGTGCACTTTCACACGGGGCAGTTAGACACTAGTTTAAATTACAGTCTAATCCACCCTGGTTTCTAAAACCAGTTTCCTCAATCAGATTTTCCCAGTCAGGGTGGGTTTTTCCATCCATCGCCCTCCATTCACAAGTTCATTCCTCGAAACCTTTAAGCAGTCCACACCCTCAAAAGAATAACATGACACTGCCTTAATGATCTGATTTTGCTGTGAAGGGAAAGGGAAACTGTAATATAATATCTAGAAGATGTTAAGACTGGTTTCCTCTAGTTGTTCTGTCTGGATGATATTTCACGTCCTCGGTCAAAGGACGACGAGATTGAAGACATATTTCCAGCCAATCCTCAACATGGACGTCCTTTCGCAGCAACACTGACTGATTCTGACCAAAATCTCTATACGTCAATCTTTCCTAGACGGGTAGTTACATTCCTGTAAGAAACCCTTCATCTTTTTCAACACACAGACATTAACTGGAAATTCTTTTAGCTTGTCCATGACAATAATTAGAGCATACAGACTGTGTTAACTAGTGATCACAGGGTCGGTGGTTCAATCCCCACCTCCTCCTGTCCACATGTCAGTGTATCCTTGGGAAAGACACTTAACCCAAGGTTGTTCCCCAGGCACAGCCGGATAATAGGAGAAAGTTATGTCAAGAAGTGCATTTGCCAGATCAAATACAATATGTGGATCATCAGATCTTCATGCCGGGCTCGGTCTGCCAGCGGGATTATCCGCTGTGGTGACCTCTGTGGGAAGCAGCTGAAAGAAAAGTAATGAACCTCATTGAGAGCTTTTGAGGTTCACTTTTGGTGTCCATTTCCTCTGATTCATATCAAAAACAAAACTTTTTAGTGGGAAACTTGAAACTTCAGATATTTTCTTCCATCAGTAACATAAAGTAGCTCTATGGTGGAAAAGTTGCTATGGTCTCAGTCAGAACTGACAGTTCCTAGAAAATGGCGGAACAACGTGATTCAGGTCTGAAATGTCTGTATTTACGACTTTAGGAAAGGAAGTGCAGCTGTTGCATCATGTTACTTCTTTCCACCCTCCACCTCCTTCTGGCAGCTGAGGGAGACCAGCAAAGAATAGAGCTGCTGCAATTAAGGCTGAATTTGCCTTTCAACAGCCCACTCTGCATGTTGGAAGACTGACCCTCCACGGCTTCTCATCCTCCAACACTGCAGAGTGGGTGGGAAGCATCCCAGTTTATTCTCAGTGCTCCTTCCATCACACCGCACCTCTCAGAGGATGCAGCACTCTTAGTAAAGTAACAAATTATACATTTCATCCTTCATTGGGCACTAAAATAACTTCCCGAAAGTTAAATGCATGAAAGGGTAGAACAGTTTATTCTGTTAAATGTCACTGTGATGGGACTTGTTGTTGCCAAGATAACATTTTAATATATCACACACCCACTCGAGCTCTTTAGCTGACAGGTCATATTAAATGGTAATTGAATAAAACCAGATTCTTGGATTGACGTACCAACACAAAGACACAATGATGTTCTACTTTTATTTGTGCATTTTACAAGAATTCTAAGCATTTCCCATCAGTAGAAACTCTGATTATGTCTTGTAGAGAAATATATCATATATAATATAACAGTTATTGGTCTGGTCAAATATTTCACTTATTCATTATGTGTCAAACTTTTTGTGCTTTAAAAACAACAGAAAATGTCAGCTGATACAGATAGATGATAGAAAGTGTCACATTGCAGAAGTCCACACAGATTTTGGACAATTTAACCAAACCTATATTCTAATTTCCTATGTTTTGTGTGTGTGTGTCTGTGTGTGTTTGTGCCTGTGTGCATGTGATCTCTTTGCCAGTGTTCAAGGTTACAGGGCAGTGAAATCAAGCGGGGCTGCCAAGTGTTGTTTGTATGTATGCAAAGACGTGCCTGATTGGTTGCATAAGAGTGAAAGAAGAAACCTCTGACCCCGACCAGATACCATCCCACCGCCAAATCACAGCCATAAATTACAGTCCATTTCTCTGTTTATCAAACAGCTCGCCCCCACCTTCCCTCCCCGCTGCACTTATTTGTTATAACTACATTCAGCGGGAGCTTATTGTAAAAGTATCCCTGTAGTGTCTGTCTACCGTGAAGGAGAAAGAAAACTGCTGGCTTTGTGAGATATATTTTATTGTGGTAATCAACAGGATTTTTTTTTTTATTTGTCTGTCAATTTATAAATTGTTTGTCTCACACAACAAACTAAACCCCTGTGAGGAGAAAACAAGGTGCAACTCAGAGTCAAGATTGCTTCAAATGCATTTAGTGGAAGACAAGAAGAGGTCAGTAGACATTATTTCAGTCCATCAAGCAAAGAGAGTATTTCCAGTTTCTTGCTTTGCTCAAGAAACCTGTGATATTAACACTGACTTTTTAAAATAATGTATTAATACTTAGTGTCTATTAAGCCAGAAAGATCCTGAAACCAAAAAAATAAATAAATGTATTTACAATAACGGCCCAGACAAATGTACAAATTAGAGTTCTTCCCTCGTACTCTACATGCCAAAGTCCTTGACCCTGCTCTTGGCACAAATGCCAGTGGAACCACCATTTGTTTTCTAGGGCAAACCTATTGTGATATTTTCAGCACAAGTCAGCAAGATATAAATACAAATGTGTTGAAATATGCTGAAATGGCAGTCAGGTGTATAAGTTAACCCACATGGAGCTTTTAGTTTGAGAAATGTGGAGGGCAAACTAATTCATCTCACCTGGGATAAGTGAAACACAGTGGTGCACAGTCTGACCTAATATCTTTATCACTTCCTATTAATAATATAGGAAGAGAAATAATAATGCCTCAGGCCAAGAACATAGAAAAACAACATAAACTATTATATGACATCAATGGATTGAATAGTAGAACCGAATATACATTTGATCTATTAATGTTTTTTTTGGACAGCGTTGATTTCACAAAGGGAATTATATTGTTATTTGTATCCGTGTGTGTAATCCACCACAACACAAGCAGCTCAGAGTGAAACTAGGACGCTCTTCCCTCAAAGCTGTGAATGTCTATATGAAACATATGAATACAGTTAAGCCAATGTTTTTACATTAATATACTTTAATAATATACCAAAGGGTCTGGTTTGATTTGTTTACACTCCAGATAGACATTAGTTTCATTATTGTGACATAATCTTTAAAGTCATTTCTTACTTCTTCAAGGTAATTTTTTTGTCATGTATTATCTGATACAATATCTATAAAGACATTACGATGAGACTATACTCAATCTAAATCTGAGTAAGAACGTGTTAGAACATCCTGATTTTACTGTCACAAAAATATATATTCTTCACGAGTGATTACAGAACATGTGAATGTAAGAAACGTGTCCCTAGAATATCTAAAACCTTCAAGAATCAACGTTGGCTTTCCATCAATATGCAAGCTTTTGAAGAGATATTCTGAGTACTGTATTTCATGTTGAGTGCCAGGGCTTCCCTTTGGTCAATATTTGTTTTTTTGGATTGACGTTTTAACTTAATATAGAGCACAGATGTGTTGCAGTATTACTCCACTCTGTCTCCCATGGGCCATGCATGTGACAGGGTTTCATTTCAGATGACTTTAATTAGACTCCTTTATTGCCTGTGGGGGCCCTCCAAATTGTGTCAAGTCTTTGATAACCAATATGTGCGGAGTTACAGTTAGATTATCCTGCTCAGACTGTGTTTTTATGTCCTGAGGTTACAGAAAGGGTTTAGATTATTTGTCTTTGGTTATTTCTAATTTTGTTATTTTTAGATACACACAGGTCATGATTATGGTTGTTTGACCTTCAGCAGCACATTTATAAAGAAAAAAGGTGTTATGTGTTAAATACAGAGGTAGTGTACAGCTGTATTGTATTTCCCTTTAGAACAAATATTGCATTTAAAGACCGTGGAGGATGGTGTTTTTTTTTTACCTTGTCCCAAAAATACAAGAGCAAGTGTATAAGGAATAGATTAACCAGTGTGTTTGTCTGCTCTAAAGAAAGCCTCAAGCGTTAGCTTGTCCGACAACAACTTACTAGTTTACCTGCAGTAGTAACCTGACCCAGTGTTACCTCCAAGAGTACCCATCATGTTTATCCTCAAAAGGCAACATTTCACTAAAAAAACAAAACAAAGCAAAACCAATTCCTTGAGGACACTTACTTTTTACCTGGGACCTGTTCGCTTTATGCTAACGCCCAGGACACACTGCCTGCATGAGCAGTGTGTGAGGCTACCTTGCGGCTCACGCACCTGTGCGTTGCTGCTGCTGCTGCCAGCTCTACCTTTCTACATTAGTCTGCCTTTGATAAATACAATACAATAAAGGCCTTGCTAACAAAAAAAAGTATTCTGTCCACAGGAACACAAAAGTGCCATTATTCTAATATAATTGTGAAATATAAGTGCTTCCAGATAAACAGTTAGTGGGGCTAATTCTCCAGTCAGGTGCTGTTAAACCAACGGCACGAGATGATGTAACTAAAAGGGCAACAGTTAAACTTCAAATGGTGGAAAACTACTAAAAATACTTAACATCTACTCAGGTCAAGTGTTTCCCACAATATTAAGACAGAGATGAATAGTTTTCCCTGTTAGTATGCATATATGATGCACCAAGTGTGTTTTCCCTTTTTGTGATGGAAATGTTTATAACTCTACCTTGTCATGTGTCTCTCGTAGTTGCATGCAGTCCATACTATGTATGTATATCACTTGTATGCCAACTAACCAACTCATCATTGTATTATGTAGAATATTTAGAGTCTTATTGTTAAGTTCTAGCATTAACATAAAAATCCACTGTTGATCTACTCTTCTGTTTTTACCAAATAAGTCCTCAAGGTTTCACCTGCAAAGTGTCAATTTCATTCCACACTCAGTTGTAAGTCATATATTTGAGGACTGTGAACAGCACTTACAGATACTCTCACCAAAACCATGAAACATTTCTCAAATTTTCATACAAAACTATGCTATTGTCATGCACTTCATTACTAGGATCATCTGCAAATTGAAACATGACAGTTTTATTTGCATTTGATAAAGCTCAATAACCATCTCAAGGAAGCAAAAAGTTAATCCAATGAGAAAAGTGATGAGCTTCATCTATGCTTGTATGACAGAAATTAGAAATGTCTGTTTCTCCACCTGCAGCAAAAATGTCTTTAGTGGTATCCTCATGTCAGTAGAATGACAGTCATAGGGCTCTTCATGACGCCAGAAACAAACTAAACAAGCAACAGCTAAAAGTTACATCTCTGATTCTCTACGGGAGGAGATTTGATCACGTCCAGGAGTGGTCTGCTCATTCACTAGCTCTGATGAACACTTTGTGTCTTTCTGCTCATTTCCCTCCTCCTCCTCCTCATCCCTGCTGATGAAGACCAGCTCATTCTCATAGCAGAAGGAGTTGGCGCCAGATGTTGGGAATTTTCTCTCCTCCATGTCCTTTGCACTGCATCTGGGGGTGGATGGTACTTCAAATGTTTTGTGAAAGTAGGCATAATCTATCCTGTACTGGCTCTTCTCTTCAAAGATGACAGGCTCAAAGCGGTGACCCCACAGGATCTCTGACGGCAGGTAAGAGCTGCGTGCTTGCGTCGTCATAGCTGTGGCCTCCACCAACCCTTCAAGTATGATTACTATCTCAAAGTCAGATGTTTCCAGATCTTGCTTACTGATGCCAAACAGTGGACTTTCTTCATCAATCTCATGTATAACAGTGAGGGGTGCAACCAGAAACAGGCGGTCTGTACCTTTGTCATAGCCTACATTCATGTCAATCTGATCCAGGGGGATATATTCGCCTTCCTCTGTGTAACGGGGCTTGACGAGCTGGGCTCGCACATGAGCTTCCACAATGTGGCTCTTCCTTAGATTGGCAACCCTGAACATGAGGCACAGTTTCCCATCACGCAGAGCAATGACTGCATTGTGGCTGAATAGTAGAGTCTCTGCACGCTTTTTGGGCCTTGCCATCTTGGCCATGATGGCACCAATCATGAAGGCATCGATGATGCAGCCCATGATGGACTGAAAGACCACCATGAAGACAGCAGCCGGGCATTCCTCTGTTACACAGCGAGCTCCATACCCAATGGTTGTCTGGGTCTCAATAGAGAACAAGAAAGCTGCCACAAAGGTGTTGACCTGTGTCACACAAGGAACAAAACTGTCGTCCTCTCCGGGATGGTCCATGTCACCGTGTAGGAGACCGATGACCCAGAATGCCAGGCCAAATGTTAGCCAGGACACCACAAACACCAGGCTGAATAGCAAGAACATGTATCGCCAGCGGATGTCCACACAAGTTGTGAACATGTCAGACATGTACCGCTGTGACTTCTCATCCATGTTTGAGAAATGGATGTTGCATTGTCCAGCTTTGCTGACAAACCGGCTGTGGTATTTGCGTCTCGTATGAATCTTGCCATTGCCGAAGCTGCCGACTGCAGGCATGGTACTTAGTCTCAGGCCTTCTTCTTCACAGGACACGAAGCTGTGATGGTGGGCCCTTCCCACACTCATGCCTCAGTGGGGCACAGCCACGTGGCTTTAGCCCAGCCCACAAAACTACCCAGGCTCACAGGAAGTGCACAGCTCCGTCCAAAACTGATTCAGTGTCAACTGGAATTGAAAGGTGAGACACAAAAGTAGTTTCCTGTAAAGGAAGGACAGGTAAAATGTTAGTGTCTGCCCACAATGTAAATTTTAAAAAATGAATGGATATTAGATGAAAAGTGGAATAAGAATTAATTTACCTTTGTTTAACCAGAGGATTAAGACAACCATACAGTAATCTGACATATTTATTTGCACAATTGCACATCACATATTCTCTATCTCTCTACTCCAGCACTTCACCGACTATAATTACTTTTTACTTGTAAAGCACTTTGGATCCACTGTGTTGTGTGTAAAGTGCTACAGTATATAAATAAAGTTGAGCTGAGCTGAGTTTACTACTACTACTACTTCAGGACAGACTTCTTCTACTCATGATGTACTTACAAATATCCAGACTCTCTCAGGAGTCACTCTGTCACTGTCAACTCTAATAGTTTTAGGACCTGTTGTCTAATAATTGCTTCTGGTAACAAAGTAATGCCAAAGCATGTTGTATTCTCACTTGATCATTTCCCCCTGTTTAATTAGAAACAAGGCTTTTGACTAATTTTTGTCTCAACATGTCACTGATGGATGTCATTTCGAAGCTGTTTAGATGTTGATTAGGTTAAACTGCATCATTTAGGACAAACACGATAACGATAAAGTGATCTTCAAACTGCTTTGTATGTTGAAAACTAGTTTTCAGGGTAAGATCTTTAACCTTGCTGTAAAGAATACTAGTTAATCTACTACATTTAATTCATAGTATATCCTTCCATAGCCTATATTTGCTTTTACCTACCTCTCTTTCTCCCTGCTCTCTTGGAAATACTCTAGTATATACAATACATGTTTCTCTGATCAACAGGGTACAGAAATAGCCAGCTAATCCAATGCCCTGCCATTTTATATGACGTATCTTCTGTTTCCTCCAGCTGGCACAGCTATTAGAGTCACTGGAGTACTGTGATGAGACTGTGTGATTCCCCTGTGAGGCTGAACTGGAAAATAATATGGGCTGAAAAAGACGGGGCAGAAAATTGGGTATCACAGAAAAGCCTCGGATACAAATGGTTTGATGGTAGGAATCGATGCGATCAGGCACATTATTGGAGAAAATACTTTTAAAAAAGGGGAACATTATCCTGATCAGTCCCATCTGCAGCCTTCAGCACATGCAGCTTGTGCTGTGTTGATGATAGAAAGAAAACTTGTCATCAAGTTTTTTCAAGCTTGTTGCCTAGTGTGAGCACTTGTATTACACAGTGTGTCAAGACATTATACACCGATCAGCCATAACATTATGAGCACTGACAGGTGAAGTGAATAACACTGATTATCTGGTTATCATGGCACCTGTCAGTGGGTGGGATATATTAGGCAGCAAGTAAACATTTT